CTTGCAGAGTGCTGACATGACAAGTGTGCTAGCTTCTTTCCATATTGTGCCACATTTGTTGTGCATGACAAAGTTCAGAAGGGACGTGGTCTCTCTCGGGACAGAAGAGGATGAAGAAGCTATGGTCCCTCCAGAGATTGTTGGACTCCCATCAGCCTCACCCCGAATGGTCAGTGGTCAAGGATTATGGAACTGGAGTCCAACAACCTCAGGAGAATCAAAGGTTGACCATCCCTGTGCCATAACCACTAAGCACTCTCCACAGCCCGCATTGTGGGTAGAGGCTGAGGGTGGCATACAAGGGGCCCATATGGCTTCCAACACTGAAAGTATGCAGTCTATCATGAAAACAACAAAAGCCACAGCTGTGCTGTTAAGAAGGAGCATTTCTGAAATATCCCTATCAAGCCGGTGCAACAGGAGGCTCAGCTCTGTTTGGCATTTCCTCCAAGAGGTCTCCTGTTAGGCTGTGCAGTAAAGTTCTCACAGCTCTTTCCATTCACTGCCTCTCCCATCAGGACTGGCAACAGAGATGAGAATTGCAGGCAATTCTATCAGGTGTCTCCTGGGAACTACGGTAAGCAACCTACTATCTTGAACCAGGCTGAAGCAAATCATTCCCGATTCAGTTACCGTGCCAGCAGTCACCCCACAGTTGTTCTAAATCATGCCTGGATTTTCCCTGTCCATTCCACAACCTCTCCAGCAAAATTGAACTTCATATCTGTTTCTTCCAACAAAGGCTTCCTTAAGGCTTTCCACAACTTCGGAAGACTGGTAGACACATATACACACAAGACACCAAGAGAGGCCTGTTACACTTTTAAAGACCAAAAACTTTATTGTGGTATAAACTTCTGTGGGCTGCAGTCCACTTCATTCAATGCATAAAGTTTTCTTTTTAAGGAGACAGAAAAATAAGAATTACTTTTTAAGCTAAAAACCAGGAGCAAACCATAACAGAAGGTCCAGATTCCGACTTTGATGGGCGGCATCCTGAAATCAAGCGGCCAAAGATGACATATAATAAAGCTCAGGGAGAGGCAGTGGGTGCTATTTGTATTTTAGCTTCTGCTATGAACCCAGGCTTATTATTTTAATTGTGATGTGCCTAATTACCCACATAGCACTACAAAGCCACCAGAACCCAGAACACTCACCCTCTGACAAAGTGCAGAGCTGCAGCTGCTTTCCCTATTTTGCTTGACTGGCAGTGGGGTCAGATGACAAAACATTTCTTCCTAAGTTCTCTGTTACAGTAGTGTAAAGCACATTTGCACTAAGGTACTTGAGAGCAAAGCATAAATCTATTCCTCATCTCCACCTAGAGAGCCATAAAGGTATTGCTTGCCAATGGTCAGTACTTTCTGGGATGGATCTAGGGCCATGGCCAATCACTTGCTCAGCGCCTAGGACTTGCCGATTGCATGGTCGGCGGTTCGAATCCCCGCGGCGGGGTGCGCTCCCGTTGCTCGGTCCCAGCGCCTGCCAACCTAGCAGTTCGAAAGCACCTTCGGGTGCAAGTAGATAAATAGGGACCGCTTACTAGTGGGAAGGTAAACGGTGTTTCCGTGTGCGGCTCTGGCTCGCCAGAGCAGCGATGTCACGCTGGCCACGTGACCCGGAAGTGTCTGCGGACAGCGCTGGCTCCCGGCCTATAGAGTGAGATGAGCGCACAACCCTAGAGTCTGTCAAGACTGGCCCGTACGGGCAGGGGTACCTTTACCTTTACCTTATGGGGGTAACCGGCTGGTTTGTTACCCCATGGCAATGAACAGTGGCAGCACATTGCTCTCATGCCATTTGATTGCTAGTCAGGAAAAAGCAGCATCTCTGTTGAGCAAAGGCAATTGCCAAGTTGCCGTGGGGCAACAGATTCCCACTGTGTTATGCAATAGAGCAATAGGGCTAGCCTTAGAAGGGGATGAATTCCTCAAGTAAGGTCCCCATACTTTGTGGGCGTTACCTTAGCCTGGTATATTGTGAGTGGGAAAGAATTCAGAACGTGGTGGGTGTTGTGGGAGGGAGGTAGAATGCCATACAGACAGGTACAAAATATGAGCTGCTCTATGGTAAGGATTTTCCCAGTAGTGATGTATGGAAGTGAGAGCTGGACCATAAAGAAGGCTGATCGCCGAAGAATTGATGCTTTTGAATTATGGTGCTGGAGGAGACTCTTGAGAGTCCCATGGACTGCAAGAAGATCAAACACATCCATTCTTAAGGAAATCAGTCCTGAGTGCTCACTGGAAGGACAGATCCTGAAGCTGAGACTCCAATACTTTGGCCACCTCATGAGAAGAAAATACTCCCTGGAAAAGACCCTGATGTTGAGAAAGATGGAGGGCACAAGGAGAAGGGGACAACAGAGGACGAGATGGTTGGATAGTGTTCTCAAAGCTACCAGCATGAGTTTGACCAAACTGTGGGAGGCAGTGGAAGATAGGAGTGCCTGGCGTGCTCTGGTCCATGGAGTCACGAAGAGTCGGACACGACTAAACAACAACAACATGGTACAGATGGAAGGGCCATCAATCAACAGATGCCAACAGATACACCAAGCAACTCCTGGTCCACGTTCCAGGCCATAACTTAACAGCTCATGTATTTTCACTGAAATAAATGTAGAATTAGTACTTCAAACAACAGATTCTACATCATGTATATCCCTGAAGAGTTATGATATAGGACTTGCTAATATAAACCAGGTATTGTTAGACTACCACTTGCCTCAGCCTCAGGCAGCATGACCTATATAATCAGGGATGGTGGGAGTTACAAGCCCCATTCTTGATCTAAACAAACAACAATAGGCTCAAGATAGGAAACCTTTTAGCACTTTCTTATGATCTGTATCTTTAGTATCACAGGGTGGATAAGAGGGGGAGGAAAGGACTGAGTGTAGGCATTTGACATTTTCTTGATGCTGACAAAACTTCTTGCAATGCACTTAGCTAAATCTAGAACAGTTTGTGTGGTACTGTTTGTGTGGAAAGTCTGTTTGCTGGCCTACCTTCTGCACTGTGTGTGGTCACTTAGGAAATTTATAAGATCAAGCAAGCCCCAAAATATAGACCTGGCCTTTTGTATGTGCAAGTAAGACCAAAGTCATTATTAGAAAAGGCTGGTTTTCACTAATGTCAAAAGCACAGCCATTAATAAGCCAGACATTCCCCATCCCTACAGAAGACATTGCCCAACAAAGGTGCCACAACAGGTTAAGACACTACCAAACTAAAGGGGGGTGTTTATTTGGGGGGTGAAAGCCACACATTTATCTAAGCATGTGAGGAGATGCACACAGGAAAAGCCAATCCTTAACATTTTGGGGGGAAAGCACAAATCAAAACCAATTTACTTCTCTTTTGTAGGTTTACCTATATGCTCACTTTGTCACTGAGATATATGAAGTGGAATAAGACTAAGTGAGCTCTGACCCACAAAAGACTTGTGTCACAATAAGTTTGTTAGTCTTTATGATGTCTCAGGAGTCTCTGTTCATTTTGCTGCAATGGATTAACCCAGCTACTCCTCTGCAAATTCTCGTAAAATATGGCAAGGACTCACTGCTGCCAAATGATGCACAACCGAACAGAGAAATATTGAACAAACCACTTTACTGTCACGAGGGGAATTTCAACCAGTATGCCTTTGGCTTTTCCACAGCATGCTCAACTTTCTATCTAGTACAGGGATGGGGAACCTGCAGCCCTCCAGGTGTTGCTGGACTACAGTTTCCTGACCATTGGTCCCTGATGGCTGGACTGGTGGGAGCTGCAGTCCAACAACATATGGAGGGGCACAGATTAGCCACCCAATTCTAGGATGCCCAGTCCTCCATTAGTATCTTGCCACTAGTCTTCTTGTGTCATATCAAAACTTACACAGTTCTACTATTCCCATTTTTATCTCTTCCATATTTTCTCAAAGCCTGACACAAGTCACCATACGAGGTGGGGGGCGGGGAACAAAGTACAGAATTGGAATTGGGTAAGCACAAGAGGGGATCCTCTTTCCTAAAACACAGCAATGATAACCGTCTTTGTAATTGCAACTTATGATTCTGTGCCAACCAACTCCTTAGTGATTTATTCGTGGGGGGGGGACTGCAATTGCTAGTCACATTCTGCTCCTTTTTTTTTTTTTTGCATGCATGCATGCACAGTTTATTTTTTAAAAAACCACAGAGAGCAGTGCTATATATATTCGAAAAATAATAACAAGAAGAACATCAAATGAGAGATTTTGGTACAGCCTCCTGATTATGCACCTGAGCGGCTCTGTACCATTTTCCTGTTACCTTAGCTTCAGTATAGGAGTGAAGAGCTGAGATACTTATTTAAGGATAGGACTTTGCCAAAGCCATTACTGCTGCTTTCACTGGGAGAAATAGTGGGTTAAAGAGCCCAGCACCTGGTATGCTAGTGAATCAGTGAGCAAGGCCAATGTTGCTGACCCTTCAGCCCTTGCTCAGTTGAAAATATGGCCTCCATTAAAAAAAAAACAGTTGCCAACCAGGAATCTATAAAATACAACAGCAACCACCTTGAACTACAAATCCCATCATGCAACAGCTCTCGCTCTTTGCCAGAAGAATAGAATATGAGATTCTGTTAACTTGTGCCTTCATGTTAAGAAGAAAAGCTACATCTTATATGATGCAGTACAGAAGGAAGGCATTTGCACGTTTGCCAGTATCCAAGAGGAAAAGGGGGTGGGGAGGCAGAGCCAAACGTTTCTCAAAGTCCAGAAGAGACTTCATTGCATCAGTTCATTAGTGTTAACATAGACAAAGGTACCAAATGCGCACAACCCTGACCTCATAAGTCACTCTAACAGCGTATAAATAAATGAAAGACGTGTCTGTAAGGGAGTCCTTCCCTGCGGTGTTTTACAATCTACTACACACACATACAGGGTGGTGGTGTACAAAAACTTTACCGGCACCGATCCCCACCCCCTGCCCAACCCCAGTAGTCACGCCAAGAGTTCACACTTACTGAAAAGCCTTCTAAGTGATCCCAATGAGATCTGCAGCCAGGAGCCAAGCAATGCATTGCGTTAAATCGGTAAAGTGGGTGGTGGTGGGAATTTCACAGTGGCGGTCCATGCCACGCCCAACACAACAGGCCCCTTGAGTGCGCTTGACATTACTGGGTCGCCCAACACCATATCCAGGCGCGACTAATCGCCCCTCCTCCGTCGCCCAAATGACCAAGGCAGGTCTCCGCCGCCACTCCAGGCCCCGGCGCAACTCCAGGCGGTCCCTACGCCCTCCCTAAACACAACAGCCCTTCCGCTAGGCAGCCACGACGTTCCCGCTGCTCCCCCGGCCTAGACGCTGCAACAAGCAACAGCCTCTCCTGCAGCCAGGGGATCTGCAAAGGACATCTCCAGGGATCTTAAGTAATCGGCCAATGCATGCGTTCGGAGGGGGGTGGAGGTGGAGAGGGAAGGCGACGACACAGCCCCATAATTCTCTCGCTGTATGTCCCGATCCGGCCCCCCAGAACAAAGGAGCGTGCTGCCGCTCCGGCTCCCTAGCAGCCTACGCTGCACAATACTCAAGCGCCAGAGGCAAGCCGCCCCGGGAATGGGGGAACGCCCTCCTCTCTTCGCCCCCCAACAAGCCCCCGCGGAAAGGCACTGCTCCCTACATCACCCCTGCAAGCGGGACCCGCCCTTCAGGCCCCCATCGCCGGGGTAAGAGCGCCCGCGGCTCCCGATCCGGTCCTGCCTAGGGCTCGGATCTCCCGCTTCCACACCCCCGGTTACAAGGGGAGAGAGAGAGCGCGTTCACACGCACACGCACACACCGGCTCCGTCCATTCCGCCGCTCCCCGGTGCAAGCGGCTCCTGCAGTTACCTCCGCTTCCTCCCGCAGCCTCCGCCTCCCAGCTGCCTCATCCCCGGCCAGCCGCCTGCCTCTCCCGGCGAGGATTGCGAAAGAAGCCCGCGAATCACCGCCGGCCTTGCAGGTGCAGAGCGCCCGCCCCGCTTGACCGCCCGCTTACCTGACGGCACCCGAGCCTCCTCTCCCCCGCCGCCGACTCAGCCACCTCGCATAGCCGGGCGCTGGGAGCCCCGCGGGCTCAGTCCTCCTCCTCGGAGGTCCCGGCTCGGGCCCGTCCTCTCGGATCCGCCTCCTGCTCGCCACCGCGCGCCTCGGCTTCCCAGCCCCTTTCCCCCAGACAGCTCCCCCGATGGAACCGGCCGCTGTGCTCAGCTCGTCGAAGAGGAGGAGGAGGAGGAGGAGAAGCGGCAGCGAGGGCAGCAGCAGCAGCAGCCTCCCCCTCCCGAGGAAGTGGGCTCGTCCGCAGCGGTCTCCATCTGCACCTACGGGCAAGGGAGAGGGAGAGAAGCTCGGGATAGAAGACCGTATTGCTCCTAAAAGCCTCGGTCCCTCGGCGCCTCCGGAGGGCTTCCGACGGCTGCGCCCGTAATGCGCCAAAAGCACGCGCCTCTCGATCTGCGGGAGTGGAGGGATTGCTCACTGGGCACCGGCGGGAATGCTATGGAACGCGCCGGAAAAGGAGACGGCCGTGGAGAGCAGGAGAAGTCTCGAAAGCGCCGGCGGGCGGGAGAGAGCGCCTTCCAAGGCCGCTTCGCTCTGCTCTCTCGCGGGCAGGCTCGTGCAATTGCTCTCGGTGAAATGGGCCTGAGAAAGGCGCCACAGCCCTCGCCTCTCCCTTTAGGGTTCTTCCAGGACGGACTGTCCCGCCTAGGCGTTTAAGGGGAGCGTTCCCAGCAGCCATTTACCGGGCTCAAATGCCGTGGAACGTGGTGACTTCAGCTGTGGGGGTGACTTCTGCCCCCCTCCCCGTTTCCACATTGGAACCTCCAAATAAGCGAATGGAATAATACATAGAGGGGCTATGTGATGTGTGAATGTGCATGCACTACATTCCCTTTTGCCTGTTTTCAAAAGGAGTTGCCCAATGAGGATTTCAGCTCATGCGTCTGTGAGTCTGAGCATGGCGGCCTTCTGAAGAGGGAATTTCTCTGTTTATATACAATGCGATTAAGTGGCCTGCTACTAGCATGAGGTTGATGTTTGTCCCCCTCAGCTAGGGCAATGGTGGGGAGGGGGAGAACTATGTTTGCAAGTATCTCATGGTGAAAGCCTAGTGGTGCATGCCCTAGTGGCTGTCTCTAGCCTATTTAAACATTTCAGCTGCATGTTTGGGCCACCTTTGTTGAGGGAGATTGTCATAGGATCATAGGAATTGTAGAGCTGGAAGAGATGACAAGTGGGGCTTGAACCCACAATCCTGAGATTAAGAGTCCCCTGCTCTACTGGGACAACTATCCCGGAGTGTTAAAAAGTCATATGAATAAATTCATACAACAATATAGAGAGCTTGTTTACTGTGGGGTTATTAATATTAATATTATATATTCCCCTTTTGAGTTAGAAGCCATGTGCTTTCTGACAAGGATAAAGATACAGCTGATGCCTCAAAGAAGCCACTCTGAGCGGTTCGCCCAATACAATGAGCTGCCCAGCGCACATGCTATCCACTGCCACCATGTGCCCATGAGGGGACATTGCAGCACAGTTTTCCATCCCCAAGCAGAGGTTGCTTTGATCAGGGGTGAGCCTACTAGGAAGATCAGAACAAGATGAGATCAGAGGCTCTCATTGGTCAAGGAGTGAATAACGGGGCCAGTCTGGTCTGTCATATCAGATATCTTGTGTCACAACAGAGTAGCACCAGGTAAAAATAATACAGGCTAGTTCCGGAAAGTTACATTGAGTTAAACAGTTACAAATACCTAAATAGTTACATTCCTAAACAGTACTACAGTACAGTACTTTCCTAAACAGTACTACTTTAATTAATGTGGAAGCAAGCCCCACTTAAATAAATGGGATTTACTTTTGAGAATACATTTATTTAATAACTACTTTCTTTCCTATTTCTTACCTACCCTTCAGCATAAGATCACAGGGTGTGTTACTACCATCTCACCTTAAAATACAATGAAATAGTTCAAGGCAAACCAAATAATGTACATTAGACAACAGCAGTGGTACCACAAAAATCACAAACATCTTAACTATCCAAGACACACCTGCTGTTCGTTTCTGTCATTCCTTTATTGCTGAGAGGCAATTTGATGCAACTGCAGAGGGGCATGCCAAATCAAACATTAGGCATGAATTGATTGATCCTGAGTGATTTTATTGTTATTTTACTCTTTTTGTAAATTGCTCTGGGAATTGTTTGACTGAAGGCTTGTATCTAAATGTAAGAATATGTGTATGTATGGGCAAGCATTTCAAATCAGACACCAGGGAAGGGCTACATGGGTGAGTGGCAGAGCTTTGCATACAGGTGGTCTTGGGTTCATTTCCTGCCATCTCCAATTAAAGGGACTTTATTTAGGTGACAGACTGAGAAAGACCTCTGCTGGAGATCATGATTACTGCTGCTTAGTAAATCACAGAGTCCAAAAGTGCAGAGCAGCTTCAACATGTACAGAGGATACTTGTCCTTTTAGATGGGAGTGAAAATACTCTGCTACTAAAGGGCAGAAATCCCGCAAGTATGAAAACGACCACATGGCAGGAGTTCAGCAGGAAGCTCTTGAGGTTCCAGCGGAGAATTTCTTGTGACCATGACAGATTTCCCTTTGCAATTGAGAACATAAAGCATAGCTGTATCACAGTCAAGATATAACAATGCCGATGTACATAACAGCATAAAACGTATCTCTGCCACACACATGCATATGCATAAACGTTGGTGGCAAAACAGGGGTGATACAGACATGCTGCTGATTACCTGACCACTAACCACTTATGGTCAGCTCTGCTCAACCTGAAGTTGTTGCTGTGCACAAGAGATAGGAGGAGGAGGAGGAGAAAGGGGATGTGCATAGGATGTACATGCCCTGTCTAGTTTTGATAAGGAAAGGAATGTAGGGGAAGCTGCTCACAAAAAACTGATGTCCACAGATACATAATGGCTTTAAGGAGGGTGGAGAATAGTTACTGAAACAAGCAAAGTGGTATCTTTTGCTTAAAAAGTAATCCAAAGGCGCAGCAGCACAAAGCCTCCAAATGTCTTCCATATCTATCTGACTGCAGTTTTGCCTCTGGCATATTTGAGGATCCTCTGGAAGCTCCAGCTTTCACTTGCCCATTCTCCTATATCAGACCCTTCTGTCCAGCCAGCAGATCCTGTGCTGAATCTCTAGGTGACAGTGCAACCCAAGCAAAAGTACATCACCCCTTATTGAGTTGAGGATTATTTCTAGGTAAGCATGCCTTGGACTGCAACCTTAGAATAGGTGCATTTGGCTTTGCTGAAAAAAACTGAAAACTGTCAATAAGGTCCTTCATGCACATAAATGACTTTGTCACCTTAGTTCAGGGATGGGGAGCCCCTGGTCCTGCAGATGTTGTTAGGCTGCACTCCAACATCCCACACCACTGGTTATGCTCACAGGGCTGCTACCACTCAAAGATGGATGTCACAAAATTCCACCATGTGGTTTCTACAACTTCTCCACCCAAAGAGACCTCCATGATACAAGTCATGCCCAGGGTCAGCCAAAAATAGAAGATTGAAGGTCATCAGTCTAATGTCAGTACCTTTTCACTTTTCAGATGTACATTGTTTAAGAGAACTAGAGACAGCAGTAAGGTGAGTGTGGGAATTCAGAACAAAATTAGACTGCAAATTCAGACAATGTAATGCTTTGTATTCTAAATGTGTACGTTTTGGCACATGGAAGGTCTCTGGGTCAGTACTCAGGAATTACTATTATGAGCTGACTTTCTAAGTCATGCACCCCCAAACTCGGCTCTCCAGATGTTTTGGGAATACAATTCCCATCATCCCTGACCACTGGTTATGTTAGCTAGGGATGATGGGAGTTGTAGTCCCAAAACATCTGGAGGGCTGAGTTTGGGGGTGCCATTTCTAAATTAAAAAAACACCGCATTCTCCAGAACCAGAAATTATATTTCTAAAGACATACAAAAATTCTAAAGTGAGGTAGAAGTAATTGAAACATACATTTGCTGTTTTCTGAGGCATTTGTTTTCAAGGTAATGAAACAACAACAGTTGATTATTTATCGTTTAGTTAAGATAAATCAGGTTTTGTTTTTGTAAGAAATCATTCTATCTTGCATTCCTATTTTTGTTACTATGTTTAATGCCTGGAATTTTAGTACAATTTTAATATCTAGTAACATTGTTAAAATCTAAATTTGACTTGATTGGTCTGGTTTTTTGTTTCATTTTTTAAAAGTAAGTAATATGCCGGGATCCTGCAGACAGAGAACTGGGAATGCTCTCTGCACCTAGAAAGCAGGAAGCTGTGAGAGGCCAAAGGCCCGCTTGCACCAGCAGTGAGCCTCATCGCCTGTCTCTTTGCCCTCCCCCACCACTGCTAAGGATGCCCCTGCTGTGTCCTTGCTGGTCACAGCAACAGGAGTGACAGTACATTCACTAGCCCAAATAACACATCATCAGGCTGACACGCTTTCCTTCACTTCCTCCACCCTAACCCATCTTCTGCTTGAATGGAGATCGCACAATCCTCATTTGT